GGTGGAAATGCAGACATCTGGTCACTTAAACGACCACCTTAAATTCCCAGATCAGATCACCTAAATCTACAGTGAGGGAAAAAATGGGATTTTGAATGGATGTTATTTAACAATGTTTTTATTTATACACTGATTAGGTTAATTCATGATTGATTCTAAACGAACACAAATTAATTCATTTGTTTTGAAACTACATTACCCATGATTCTTTCAGGGCAACTTTCATTCCATATGTTCCAAGATTTCATTCAATATTCTCAGGAAATCATTTAAAATATGCATTTTTCATTCAAAATATTCAACTTTCGTTCAATATATTCTAACTCTTGTCAGTATATTTAATAATAATTTCTTAAATATATATATATATAAACACAGACTTTCCCGATTTTAGGCTAGATCAATTTAGAGTTGCGGATTTGAATCCAAGTTTGTTAAACTTGCCTCATGAAACAGAGCCCTGGAAAGTTTTATGGCGAACTGATCATTGTTTACATTTTTAACTAAGCCAATCATCTGTTAGACCAGATAATTAATGCATTTTTTTTTTTAACGTTCTATCATTGGATGTCGTTCTGCAGACAGGCAAAAATTAACAAACAAAAATGAAAACCTGGACTGTCCGGCTAAAGCCGCCCCTCTGGAACCGCCTTACAGATATTCCTATTGGTGCTGTATGTTGGACCCGTCCAAATGTATAAAACAGTCGTTTACATACAATTTTTTTCAGTAAACTCAACACTTTTATTCTGAAATATTCCAGACTTTCTGTGGATGTAATTTTTTCTTTTAGAAATAGTTTTTTTCTGTCTGTAGCTGTGATCTTTAATGGGATTTTCTCTCATGATTAGTCTAAAAGTAAACTTTGTGCTCCGCCGCTCCTCTCTGACTCCTGGCCTTGTGACATCACTCCCAGCTTTGATCTGCTGCTGATGGAGTTAATGCCATAAAGGCCTTCAGGCGCTGGGAAAGGTCCCCTGGTCTGGATTAATCAGGTGTTTGCTACATCCAGGTCTGTTTTCTCCCTGCAGGCGCGGGACTGCCCTCAGACCAGCTCTGCCTTCGTCAGAGTCTCCAAAGAGCTGAAGAACAAAGATGGCTACGCTCAGGTTGTCTTCTCCGGCTTCTGTAGGAAGGTACGGCTCACCTGAAAGCACCCAGTCAGGGAGAAACGTTTCATAACCACCAGGAGTTCTTAATCATTAAATTAAAAATTCAAATGTTCAGCTAATTAAAACCCAGCCTGTTCCTGAAAGCTACCAAGAAGTTATGAATTCATTTTATTATCTCCTGGTGGGAAAATTGGGCTTTTATTTCTATAATTGGAACCTTTTTTTTAAAGAAAAACAGACCTTATTATATTTAAACATGCGAAAGGATTGATAAGAAAAAACCCTGAATCTTATTAAAAATGATGAATCTGCTGCATGAGAAGCTCCTCACAGAGAGCAGAGTCTGAATGTTTCTCTGCTTCCCTCCCAGGTGAACAGATTCAATAAAAGCACAGACCGAGCTCTGCTCGTCACGGACAAGTACGTCTACAAATTAGAGCCGAAGAAGCTGTACAAGGTTCTGAAAAGGCTTCCTTTGGACTCGGTAAGTAGCTGCATGGCAGCGCCACACATTAGCGGTCCTTTTAGAGAGTCTGCTGGGAGTAAATTAACTCGACGCTCAGAGAGCCACAGCCGTCTGATCCTCAAGGATTAAGTCTCCATTACTGTTTGTTTCTGTTTTGATTAAATCTCATTAAAATCTGGAACAACGCCTTGAAAAAAACTATTCCTCAAAATATGCTGAAGATTCTCAGTCATCCAGG